GGAAGGGGGAATCGTGCTTCCTCATCCAGCTCATCAGCCAGAGCGGCTGGATGGAGGAGCCTACACAGCCTCACACAGACCCCTGAGGTGTCCCTCTGCTTGGGACCGTGCACCAGCCCTCCCCGAGCTGTCTCAGGGTCCTGGGGAGGCCCAGCCGGCAGCCACCCTGGGGGACACCCTTGCAAGGCCGAGCGCACGGCAGGCTTCCCCGTGATGCTCACCAAGCAGAGGTTCAAGTGCCATCTAGTGGCATGTAGCATCAGCATGGCACGCAGGGACATCTGATCTGGTCAGCTCAATGTGTGGCACCTGACAGGGCCTGGCACTGAGAGGTGATGTGGGAAGGCCAGGTGCTTTTCAGTGGGGCCTTGGGCGAACTGTGGCATCCCTGCAGTGCTGTCTTCTGAGGGAGCAACTTGCCACCAGTGGCAAGGGGGATGGTTGCGCAAAAGCATCGTGTGCCCTGCTCCTGGGCGTCTGCATAGCCACCTCAGCACCCTGTCCCCACTGCGGTGGACACCGCTGATCCTCTGCACCAAGCCACAGTGGGGACCTGCAGGCCTTGCTCTTGGCTTCCCCCAGGTAGCCTCGTGGGCCCCAGAAGCAACGAGAGCCACGAGGGGGCTCCAGGAGCCTGTCAGAGACAGGGGAGAGCGCTGGGAGCAGCGCTCAGGTGCCAAGAACCGGCCTGTCCTCCAGCAGTGGAGTGGAAGGGAGCTGGGGAAATGCACAGCTCTGTCAAAGAGCAGGATCTGCCAGGGTGTTTGCCCCTGGTGCACAAGTTGGGCCAAGAAGCAGTGCATGTGTGGCAATGGGCCCAGCACAGGAACTGAGGATGGCTGTGGCACTGTGCTGTGCTGGTCTGACCTTGGGACAGCACGATCACGGCCTCTTGCAGGATGCCGATGGTCAATGCATGATCATCTACTCCAGCAGTGGATTCACAATGCTGTTTTATTCCTGCAGGGCCAGATTTATGTCTCACAGCTGTTTTATCTTGGCCTAACTCTGCTGAGTTTATGGGTATTATTTATAAGAGGTAAATCTGGTCAAACATTAAAGAAAAGACTTGGAGAGCACTGCTGGGTTCACTACATGGTCTATGTCATGGAAACCAGTTCAGCTCGGGGGATGATCCCTTCAAGGATGGGATCAGTCGGTAAGAAAGTAGGTCCAAATCTATCTGATGGTTTGTCACGGTTTAACCCAATTGTCCCATCAACACATGGGAAGAAAACACTGCTCCCTAAAGATTCAGCATGCCGAGTTCTGTTATTGGTGGTGAAGCCCCAGATAATGTATATGCAAGGCAGCGACAAGACTCAGCATCCCTGACATTATTGATATAGCTGTTAATAACCTGTATGTTTTAGGCAAAAAGCAAACCAAAGTGTTCCAGGTCAGAGCCAGTTTGCCATTTGCTATCACTTGAGTACCTACTAATGCCAAGCCAGGGAACAGTGAGCCCAACAAGCATGTTCCAACATGAGTTTTGTCCTCCAAGACACTTTTACCTGCAGGATTTTCTGATAATGTATCTTGTCTTATACTTAGTGAGGACAGGAGTGAGGATAAAACAAGCTGTCCTGCCCCAAACCACTCACTATTCCCTATTCTTTGAGCACGAGCCAACATAAAACTGTTTACAAGTTTCTTTTTCATTCTAGTTTTGCTTTAAATTGTAAAGTCCTTTCCCTCACAGAACATCTCTTAGACTATGCACCTGCATTTGATTTCCTTCCTTTGATTTAGTAGCAAGGCAGGGGACTAAGGAAGGGCTCTTCTTCCGAGGGGGTCTAGACCACAGTAATGCTTGCCTGCAGAGCACAGTGCGAGCCCGTTGCTGCCAAGAACGGATGGCAAAATGGTTCAATGTTGGGTTGGGATGAAGCCCTGCTCTCTAGACTGTTTCAGAGGTGGAGCCTGGTTTCGAGAGGGGCCTGCAGGATGGAGCGTTTCTGGGTTGCACCATAACCGTCCCTCCCCTTGGACGTATGGGAATAAATCCAGAGAAGGTACTGCAACTCCAACAGGTTTTCCATCTTCCCTTTGCACGTCCTTTTCCATCTGCCCCACAAGCAGATGCTCCAGCACAGGGTCCATATTGCTACAGCACCAGGAGACAGCCACATGCATGAGCCTCCCTGCTTTCTGCATGCCCCATTTCAGAGGCTCCTCGAGCAGGCAGGCCTTTTCGACTTCACCAGCTCAAGCCATTTCATGCATCAGGCTGTGCTTTAGGGCATCCCTCTGCTTTAATACAGTGACTTAGTACAGCAGCAGTTGCACCTGCAGAGACACAATCCACTCCACGTGACATGGACTCAGACCCCGGAGCCAAGCAAGCCCACAAAGAACTCTTCTCTCTCCAGCATGCAGATCCCGGCCAGGTTAAGCCAGCCCAGGAGCAGGGGCAACTCCGTGACAGAGCAGCTGCTGTTGCTGCAGAACATTGGCTTTCCATTGCCAGGAGGCTATGACTTGGAAGAGGCTTCTGGGATCTGTCCAGGAAGGGCTCCTCAGGGTAGCAGCTTCAGCATAGACCTCAGGCCCTCTGGTCTCCACAGAGCCCCAGACCCTGGTTCTCCACCCCACTAGCAGGAACGGACAAAAGGGGAAAGCACAGGCTAGGCATCTATCCCTGGTTTTGCCCTGACTGATGTGTGCCTCAACCTGCAGGGCCATGGGCACCCTCTCATGAAGAGAATGTCTAAAAAGCCTGGACACTGGGGAGGACAGAGGGAGCGAAGAGCTGCACCAAGAATTTTCCATCCCTGAAGTCCTTCTGTATGACACGCATGGTCCCAAAGAAACCTTATGTACAGCCTAGCAGGAAATCAGCCCTAAGGGCTGCTGGTACAGTGTACATCCTCTCTTGGACTCCTACAGGATCAGTGTGGATGCTTTAAGACCATGTCACACCCAGTAAGACAGGTAGAAAGCACCTGGAACTTGTGTTGCCACTGTGTGTGTCCCAGACAAGCCTTGCAGTGTAAACACAGGCTTTGATCCTCCGAGATTTGGCTTGAAAGAGACATCAGCAACTTCCAGTGTCCTCAGTGGCAAAAGGAATGTCACTTCAGAATTAAAGTTGCTCCTGAATTAGAGAAGCAATTCCAAAAAGCTAAGGAAGGTTGTTGTGATGGAAAAAAAGAGGGTATGAAAGACCCACCCTGCAGAATAGACAGGGAAAAAATAGATCGCAATGTATTCAGAGCTTAGACAAGAGCAAACTTGCTTGCAAAAATAAACTCTTGCATTTGACACATTGCTTAGATATTAATTAGTTTGATCAGCTTGCCTGGGTGTGTTAACAGGAGTGAAAGTTGGTGCTTGTACAGTGATAAGCTGTTAAAACTTCCTAAACAGAGATATGAACACTGGCAGACCCAGATCTTCCCTTTATGCAGAGCCTTTCTGCTATTTTCTCTTAAATCTTTTCCACTCATATTTTTCTATTTCACTCAGTTTAGTCTCCCAGGTACTGTTTCTTCCTCAGCGCAGAACCAGAGACCCATAAGAGCAAGCAAAACAGCTAAAGCAGCTGTGCAGAAAGCTAAGGAACTGCCAGCCCCCAAAGCACAAGAAATGGAAAAAGGAGAAAACTCCCTCCCTCCTCCCTGTTTCCACTAGTCCCCTTCCCTCCTGGTTTTTGCAGGGGCACATTACTAAGGGGGTTGTAGACATCCCAAGTGCAAGTAGGAGGCCTGAGTTAATATTTCCCCTTTAACAGCGGAGCCACAGCCTGACATCAGAGGGCTGGTGAGTTCTGGGAGCCTTTGGAAGCAGTGCCAACACATCCTTGTTTTCCTGCCTCTTTGCTGCTCTTGTTTGTGTGTGCATTTTAACACACTGCATATGTATCCATGCTTGCCAGTGGGTGTCTGCAGGGTTTGCATTAAGCAGCTCAAGACGAAGTTGGTAAACAGCTATTAAAGTTCTGCTCTTCATGTCTCAGACGGTGTCACTTCTGGACAAGGGAGTCACTTGCATCTTTGTTTCCCTGCAGGCTGTTCCCTGGTTTGCAACCCAAATGGATTGTTCTTCCCAACAGTTATGCAGACAAGTGGGGTTCTGCTTTGTTTGTTCCTGGCATAGGGAGGGGAAACGAACCTCCCGTGGCTCAGTGGGGAGTGCTCTTGTTTTTACTGTTTCTTTGATAGGAGAGAGACAGGCTCAAAACCTGTAACTCTAATGTTTAAAGTCCTCAGTTGTGAACAGAGTCGGCACCTAAAACTGATCGTTTGCCTGGGAAAAAAATGCTGAATCCTGCAATTCCTGAGCTTTGCAGGAGGTTGAAAACTAGCTCCTTTTTTCCTCTTCCCTTTTTTTTTTTCTCTCTCTCTCTTTTCCTTCTTTTTTTTTCCAGACTGTCACAATTAGAAAGTTTCTTGGAAGCCAGGCTAAAGTCCTATATCCTGGTCAGCCTCTGCTCTGAGCAGAGAAGTGGAAATCAAGTCCTAAGCACAGAGCCCAGCTGCAGAACCACATCTAAAGCTATTTATTCTCGCACAGGTTTTTTTCACACGTTCTTGCCTTCTGTTTTTGCTGGAGCCTCTGTCCCTATTGAGAGGCAAATTTTAGCCATCTGGCAAAGCAGCCTGTAGAAAAAAAAAAAAAAGAGGGAGAGAGAAAGCACAATGTGCACGGGCACACACACACACACAAACTCTGGAGATTAAGAAAGACAAAAACTTAGCAGAATCCCGGGGCTGCCGCCGGAGCGCGCGGGGCAAGAGGAGCGCTGGTGGGAGCGGAGGGCAGGACAGCCCCTGTGCCGTCAGGTCTGTGTGTGCGTGTGGGGATGTGGGGACCCGCTGCAGGCAGGGGAAGGCGTGACCTGCATGGAAAATGCCAGACAGCTCCAGACACACACACATACGCGCTCACACGCTCACGAACCCCGGCGCAAAGATAAGGCGCGCGGCGGAGTGCTCGGAGCGACGCAAAGCCACCCCCCGAAAACAAACCGACCCCTCCGCACTGCGATCCAGCTGGAAACTGCTCGGAGCTGCAGAATGAGGTGAGTACCTACCCGCTGGGCTGACCCCGCGTGCCGTGCGCTGTGTCCGCGTGCCAGGCCAGGGAGAGGGGCGACCGCTCCGCAGAGCGCTCCCCTGCCACGAGCGCCACTCCGGCTTCCCTGTCCCGAGCAAAGCGCTGCTCACGTCTCGACTTCGCGCTGCCGCTCGGGTTGTGTGCCAGAGCGGCGCAGGAATGTGAGCAGGACGCGAGGCGCTCGCGGCCGGGCGGCGCGGGAGCGTGAGAGCGATGCCGTGCCGCGTTGAGTGCGCGCGCGCTCCAAGAAGCTCTGCTCCATCACTGCACGGGACTCCGGTTCTGTGCACATCATGGCCAGTTTTCACTTTGGGATGAGGATAAGACTTTCCTGGCCTGGGAAACTTTGATGTTATTTGCCTTCCTCTGATTAAAGAGAAAACAAAGAGTTGCACTGGCAAAAGGCCCTCTCCAGCCAAGGAGGTGATGCCCATTTGCGCCAGATGAGAATCCAGCCCTTGTGCATGTACTCCGACCAGAAGAGAAACAGATTTTCCCTTCACACATTTTTGTGGTTTCAGACAAACTGTCAGAATAAGGCATGTTCAACCTCACTCTGCTTGAAAGAAAAATCGGTCCAAATTTTTCAGCTCCCATTAATTTTGCTTTGTAATCACGAGCTTGGAAAAGTGATGGCACTACAGAAAGCCCCAGTAATATACTGCCCTGGTTTCCAGAGAGTGCAGCCAGGTTAAAAATAATCCACTTACATAGTTTCAATGTCCTCACCATGGAGCCCTAATTTTGAAACTGTATGTACGTATATATATGAGTAGTTCCAGCCACTGCAGTACACACCTACAAGTCTTTGCCAGGCCTTAGCACCTATTTTTAAAAGTTAAAATATTTCTCTTTATTGGCTCTACTTTCCTATATGCTTCTTTTTCTGTGTGCGCTCCAGTAAATGTAAAGAGCATAAGACATGCTCCTCAGTCTAACTTCCATGCAATAGCAGGAACTTTCATGGAGGAGCATGGACCTCCAGCATGGGCAGAGCTGTGTGCACTTCCAGTTGCACTGAGAAATGCTCCATTAATGCTCACTTTCATGCTGCAAATGGGAGGTCAAATATGATTTACCCAGGTTCGCTGCCCACCTTTGTCATGAACAAATTGATGCCTGTGGCAAACCCCTGAGGTTTAGATTTTTAAAAATTGAGTTTGATGCCCAAAGAATTCTAAGGACTTTTAGTTTTGTGGGTTTCTCTACCTGGAGAAGAGAGGAGAAGAGAGGAGAAGAGAAGAGAGGAGAGGAGAAGAGAGGAGAAGAGAGGAGAAGAGAGGAGAAGAGAGGAGAAGAGAAGAGAAAAGAGAAGAGAAGAGAAGAGAAGAGAAGAGAAGAGAAGAGAAGAGAAGAGAAGAGAAGAGAAGAGAAGAGAAGAGAAGAGAAGAGAAGAGAAGAGAAGAGAAGATTCTAGGTTATACTTGCCCAGTAGTGAAGAGCTGTGCAGTGAGAGTCAGCGATCCCAATCTGGCATGATGAAGCTAAACAGTAATAATAATGATAATAATTAGCTGTTACTACCATAATGCTTTCATTAAACTGATTAAGAAAGCATCATTATTTTATTAAGTATCCTTATGTTTATTCTTTCGTTAAATGAAGATTTGACCCTCAGAGCACCATTAGCCCATGGCTAACTGTTCACAGAAAGTGTTAGAAACGCTCAACTCCTAGAGGTGCCTGGAGCTACATGGGTAGCCCTTGCTGTGCTTTTTGCACCTCTTTAGATGCCTCTGCAAGGATCTTTTCATCCCTGCTGCATGGCATCCTACCATCTGCCTCCCTGCAACCTGGCATGGAGTTTGCTCATGGGAATGCAGTGCTGCATCTCCTTTCCCACCCAGCACCTTGCACCAGGTCTGTGACCCCTCCAAGTTTCCCTCTCTGGAGCATGGAGGAGGAGAGAGGTGGTTGTGCTGCATCCCAGAGCCCTGCGTTAAAAAGCATTCTAGCTAGTTACAGCCTTGACCCCAGGCTCCCATGCCCAGTGAGCCCTGCGTGGTGGCCTGCACAAGTGTTCCTGGGAGTTCTGTTCATTGCAAGGCAAGGAGCCATCCCACAGCTCCTGCCCCACACCATGGCATGAGGGAGCTGGATATGTGCCAAGCATTTAGAATGGGATGGAGCTGGCCCCATATGTTGTCCTGATGTTGCATCTAGGACCTGCTCCTAGTCATACAGTCAGATTCTAGCAGTTTGATCATGAGACCTTACATGATCTGCTTGGAAAACCTTGGCAAATTTTGGCATTGCAAGAGTTTCATTTGATCTCTCTTTGTGCTTTCCAGGTACTCTCTGGCTTGGTCCTTCTGTGTTTTTCTGCTCTCTGTGGCAGATGCCATTGAGCTGACAGATATGTTTGGAGAGATCCAGTCCCCAAACTTCCCGGATTCCTATCCCAGTGACTCGGAAATGACATGGAATATTTCTGTGCCCGATGGATTTAAAATCAAGCTCTACTTCATGCATTTTGACTTGGAGTCATCTTACCTCTGTGAATACGACTATGTAAAGGTGAGCTGTGGTGTCACAGGGCAAATAGATGGGTAGAAGGGAGACCAGTTTGGCAAGCTAAGAGAGGGTGCTGGAAAGCCTGGGAACATGGTAGTTTTCACCATTTATTAAGGACAAGAATCATCGGTCCAGTAGATAACAGGGCAAGCATTAATAAGATGATAACAAACCTCAGACTAACAGTGAGTGGAACACGCAGGTTCAGAGCTTAGCCACAAAGGCCCAGGTTTCTGGAGGTATCTGGGCACCAAATTCTCATTGAACCCAATGGTATTTAGACACCTATATGAAATGAGCTAATCCCTAATGTGTGCTACTGTAGTGCCAAACAAACACCTGCAAGGAGGGTTCTTGATGCATATGAAATGCGCTAACCCCCAATGTGTGCTACTGTAGTGCCAAACACCTGCAAGGAGGGTTCTTGATGTGTACTTTCACCAGGCTATGGCTGTGTGTCCTGCAGGCAGCCTGGGCTCCAGGATCTACTTACAGTTCTCAGGAGATTCCATCCACTCCCAAAGGAAGCAAGAGGGAAGCTTTAGGCCTGAGCTTGAGCCTGCAAGCTTGGATCTGCATCCACAGCCTCCCATTTACGTGCAGCACAGTTCACCCTGTCAGAAACCCTGGTGGGCCACGCACTGCTGTGCCTCCGAGCATCCTTGTGCCCAGAAACATGTCTCTCCAGACAGCTCTCCTTCGTGTATAGAAGAAGCTGGGTTGTCCCTCTGTTGGACTAGATAAGGTTTGCTGCTATCTGGACCAGCTGTAGCAAGCAGGTGCTTTCACTGAACAGGGCTGAAATTAGGCACGGGCCTCACTTGGCTCCTCACACTCAGGCAGGTGGAGTGGCGACCCATGTCTGCAGCCACTGAGCTCAGCCCTGACATTAGCTGCCAGCTAATTGAATTGCTGTTTCATTCCTGCACTAAGAAGATGAAGCAAACATTGGTGTTTTTCCTCTCAGACCTGTCATTTGCTGTTTTAATTTCTGCTTTGTATTGACACTCCTTCCACTACTAACAGCTCTTATTGAGGTTTGATTAGTTTTTTCTGCTTCTCCTGGATCTACTCCAAGCACAAGGGCCGGGGACACATATAGAGATATATTACTTTAAAAACCCAATAGGCTGAGGAGTGGATTTCTTGGAAACTTTTCCCATTCCAAGCTTTACCCCTCCTCCCGCCTTTCAGCCCCTGCTCATTTTTCCTTTTTCATAAGGCTCCCTGTTATTTGGCTCTGGTGCCAATTTGGCACCATAATCTTCCCTGTCGCTGGATTTCCATAAGAAGGCGGTATTTTTCACAGGGATTTAGATCTCAGCTGTATAAATTTGCTCTGGGCTGAAACTCATTTTGTGAAGCCTCTACCAAAGAATTATATTTGTGTTGAAAATGCTCAGAAAATGTCCATCTGGGTGGATTATAGATGATCCGTAAGCTCCTCTGCTAGGTTGAGATGCAATCCTGATGCTGCTAAGCCACCAGCTAAGAAAATACAAGGAGAGCACACAAATGACTTCATGGCCATTTCCCTGTCTGATCTGTGTGCCTCCACCACCATCAGTGCAACACATGAAAAGACAATCAGCTCATGCCCTGTCTTTGATGGACACTCGCAGTTCATGCCTATAGAATATAGTTCTAGATCTAGTGGATATAGGTACTTTTCTTTAACACTGAGCCTGTTCCAGTAAGAAGGCTCATCGCAGCTTAGGAAGCCAAATGTGGCATCTCTGTGTTTGCTAGTACTTGATAGATTTCTTCTCCATGAATTTGTCCAGTGGCTTTCTGAGTCTATGCATGTATGAGTCTCTGTAGCATCCTGTGCCAGAGAGCTGCACAGGTTGAATATATGATAATGTTCATGTGTGAAGAAATATCCCTGCTTGTTTGTCCTGAACAAGGCCCTGATTCAAAGTCTGTTGGACTCTCCTGTCAGACATTGTCTTCATTGTTGTAGGAATGAGGACAAGTAGAGGGACTAAATAGTACAAGGCAAGGAAAAACAAAATCTTGGCTTGGGACAGGTACAAAGCTCTGCTTTCATTGTCTTCTCAGCCATGCACATGCCTGTTCTGGGGTAGTGTCTTCAGTGGCAAGTTCAGGGGAAGCCAAGTTTCAAACATACACAGATCCCTGCCTTCGGGGTGGTCCTCAGGAGTGAACATTTTCCAGAGCTCTGAAACAATGGCTAATTAAAACAATAGTTGTTTGTTTATATATACAGATATATGCATTCACATACATATAAAAAGAATATGCAGCTTCGAAAGAAATGCTTACAGGCCTGGGGAAGCCTTTGTGCGAATGGAGATGGCAAAGGCTGTGAGTGGAGCTTTAGGGAAGGAGGGAGCCAGAAGGGACATGATGGACAGTCACCCAAAGAAGTGCAAACATGCACCCAAAGAAGGTCAGTCCTGCAAAGGTAGGAAACACCAACATACAAACTGCCTTTGGAAGCTGAACTCAGGGTCTTGGTGAGGTGGAGACAGCCTCTCCCAGGCTTTTGGATCCATGCCTCGAACGATGTACCCAGACCAGGAGGGAATCAGCAGCTTTGGCACTGTATTCTCTGCTCAGTTCCGTGCTCTTTGCTCAACTCACGCCCTTCCCACAGAACATCCTGGGGTCCATCTCACCACAGAGTTGGGGTACATCATCTGGGGTGGCTTCACCTGGATTTGCACAGGGTTTGGCTTGCTTCCAGGGTGCCACGGTGCTGCACTATCCTGGTAACCTAGAAAGCAGGGGCTGCAAACAGGAAAAGTGAGTTAAGAGATTTGATTAGTGTCATAAGAGAGCACTGCAGTAGAGGCAGGGAGCTGCACGATGAAATCTGAACAGCTTTTTGTGCAAGACTCTGCCCCAGACTGGACGGAGGGACTCAGCTTGGGTTGAATTCCTGCATCTTGAATTGGGGGGAACAAGTAGAACTTCCAAGGCTGTGACTCAAAACTCCTGTGTGTTTTTTCAGGATTTCTTGGGAAGCAGCTATCACAGCTTTGGGTCATAAGTTTGGAGCACCTCCAGGCTGGTATTCACCCCATGTGGGAGTTAGTTTGTTTCAGAGGTGCCAGGTGCTTTCCAGGACAGTCATGGGGAGATGGGTCCTGCTAGAAGGAGCATACGAAGTAGCTTGCAGTTTTCCTACAACTCACACAGGGGCTGGATGGCTTTGCTTTTCTCTGTTCCCTTCATGTCTAAATCCTCCAGGTGGTCAGGGAGACTGAGTCCTATCCATGTATTTTTGCACATACTCTCTTAAGGCCTGTAATTAAATCAGCCTTTAAAGATTTGGCAGCATGGCTGGAACCAAGTTCTTGATAAAGGAGATGAAGATGGGGCTTTTGGTGAGAATATTTCCCCACAGTCAGCCTATGATGAAGCAGGCTCACAGTCCTGGTGGGGTTACCCTTCTTATCCCAAGCCCTGCCACTGAGTCCCAGCTGGGGATGGCACATGCTTGAGGCTTGGCAGATTTCAGCACATGCCATAGGGCTTTCCTTTCACTTCTCCAAGCACAGACGGCACCAGTGGGCACAGCCCACAGGGATGGAGCACTCAGGGAGAGCAAGCAGTTAACACTCCAGCTCTGGGAATCGGCTTGCGGGCGATTGTGGAAGTTTTGCAACGTGATGGAGCTGTGTCTCCCTGAGGTTTAGCATAGCATTCGGGGCATGTCCCAGCCGGCACCCTCAGCTCGGGGTTTGCTGCCTCCTGCCCGCAGGCAGAGGGAAGCCCGTATTTGCCTACTTTTCAGCACTTTCAGCCAGGGAAGGGCTGCATGCTGCTCTGCGGCCTCATGCTCAGTGCCACCAAGGAGCCCGCTGCCCTCCCTGCATGGTTAGGGGCCGCGGTCACCCCCAATGCAGCACCAGAGGGAAGGAGTGAGGAACTGCCAGGGAAAGGAGGCAGCGGCTTTGTTGCAACCCTGGCATCCCATCTCACATGCCCCATCGGGAAGCAAGGCCTGCCCGGATGTCCAGGAGAAGTCGGGCATGTGGGCACAGCGAGGCCACAGGAGGAAACCATCCCCAAGTGCAAGGCAAGTCTCCAGCAGGAGAAGCCACCTGCCCTCCCTGTCCCGCTGTGGCAGGACTGTGTTTTCCTGAGCTGCCAGGCATCTTCCTGTGGGAATTCGGGTGTACATTTTCACACTGAAGTACCCCAAAAGCTGCTGTGATGTGAATCCGGGAGAAGGATGCATACTGGGGAGACCATCTCTGGGAAGCTGAGATGCAGGCTTCTGCTCCTGGCTTGGGCTGTCCCATCCCAGATGTGTTTCCAACATTAAGTAGCATAATCAGTCATTTTGCAAAAGCCCCCTTAATCTGCGTGTTGTTCCCTTCCATGCACTTTAGCTACAAGGCGACTCCGCAGGGGCTACTCCGTGCCCTTCTGTCTGTGAGCATCTCCTCCCCATGTCATGTTCCCAGTGTCTTCAGCCCGGCACTGCAATTCCTCTGCCTAATGAGCCATTTATATATATTACAAGCAGTATGTTTGGCCCTCATCAGTCCAATTAGTGCATTCCTGGAGGGATGAGTGTGGGGGTGGCGGCCGCGTTTCCTTACTGCGGCTTCGTGCTCTTTTCCGGTGGCAGATATGGAACCAACCGGTCAAATTCCACTTAGGGTTTGTGAAGTTCCATTAACTCACCCATCACAGGAGGTATCTCTGAAGGAGGTATCTCCCCCAGTGCAAGCAGGGAATCTTGTGTGGGGCACTAGGACGGCAAAATACAGGGGACAGAGCTGCAGCTTGAGGAAGGACCCCTGTCTCTTTCCATTTCCTTGGGGATACAAATCCCAGCAGTGGGCTCAGGTGCAAAGTGAGAATGGGAAAGATGGTGGGAGGCAGGGGCATACAAGTTATCCAGCTTCCACAAGCGCAAATTTAAGGCACAAGAGTGTCGCTATGCTTGATTTTTCAAAGGAGGATTCTTTCAGCGTATTTTTATAGGGAATTTCTCTTCAGCAATTGATATTTCCCTCAGGGACACATCTTCTCTAGTGAAAACGTCGACATCATGACCCCAGAGGGAGAAACTCCAAACAAACAACCAGGATTTAATTACCAGCCTGCTCGCTGGATGTAAATGATCTACGAAAAAGTATACAGTGCTCAGCGGAGGCAGCAAATATTAACCAGGGAGGATGACCTCTCTGTTTAGTTTACTGCCAGAGGGCTGTCTCTGCTCCCTGCGTCCCGGGGCATGGGACCCATCACAGATAAGGGGCTGTGGATACCTTCAGCTGCAGCTCTCCAGGCCTCATCCCGCGGCTCCACGAGCCGGGACCCTGGCCACAGCCGGGGCTGTGCGGGAAGGGCTTCCCGCTGCATCCTGCTGCTCAGCGGCTCCGGTGCGGTCTTGGGCCGGCGGGAAGGGGGTGAGCTCGCGGCTGCAGCTTATGTGTCCCTGCAGGCAGAGGTGACAACTAGGGCTGGCCTGAGAATAGAGGAGATGGCTGGAAACAGTTCCCCCGCACAGAAGATGCTGTGTGCCGTGTATTCCTGCAGCCTTGGATGAGACTGCACACTGGGGAAGGCAAAACAGTGCACTTTTTAACTGTAGCTGAAAAGACTTTTTTTTGCATTTTGGGAAGTAGCAGTGCCCATTTTTCACTTTGAAATGATAATTCATTTCAAATTATTTTTTATTTTAGTTTTTAAAAAATTCCAAAGCACCAGAGTATGTTTTAATGTGATTGAAACCAGATGGACCAAATAACTTTTTGTTTGTTTCGGATCCCTTTTACACACACATACACAAACAGAGCACTGCGCTGGGGTTTTGTCCCAATGTGAGACGCATGGGTTTTTTTCTCCAAATTCTCAAAATTTATCATTGGAAAGTCTCTCTCTCTTCTGGCCAGCTCTGGCTCGTATGAGAGCATGGAAAATATCTGGAGGCAATGTCAAGGCTGAGTTGCCATTTCCATGTCGTCTTTCACTGGCGTGAGCAAGTTTCCGCCTGTACACACAGCCCTGGGAAATTTCCCTTTTTATCCTGGTCTGGGGCAGTGGGTCTCTATGTGCCAGTGGCTGCCGGGGTGTCAACACAAGGCAGGTCTTGTATTGCCATTGCCCAGGAAGCCCTGTGATGCGACACAGTCCCCAGCCAGACGGGTCACCTTCTGCAGATGCTTTATGGCAGTCTCCGTGCTTTGGTTGCTGGCTCGCTGCTCCTCGTGCCGGGGGGCTGCTCTCTTCCTCGTGGCCTTAATAGCTCCCACTTGGCATGAGCGGCGGCGGGTTGGCATGCTCAAGGGGGCCCGCATTCCTCTGCTGGAGGGTTATTCATATTCAAATCTCCTGGGGAAAAGCAGGCAGGGCACTAGGCGCTAGGGCTGCAGGAGCTTGCAACCAAGAAGGGGGCTGGAGTTGGGATAGCAGGAGACTGAGATGGGATCGTAAGGACTCAAGTTCCTAGGGGAGACAGTGAAGAAAAAGATGGGGAGGGGGTTTCCAAAGAAAGAAGAAGGATTTTCCAAAAGGATTGCTGTACCTCCAGCCACCAACAAGGCCAGCTTTAAAGGTATGCACATGTTGGCTAGCAAGCACATGAGGATGGCAGCCGGGCACGCTGGCCCACCAGCCTCTCCTGGTGCCCACTGGGCCGCAGGGCACAGCTCTGAGTCACTGTGCCTGGCACTGCATGGTTGGGACCGACAGGGACCTGAGCAGCAGGGACACATGCAGGGACAGCCAGGACAAGACCAAGCTTGTGCAGGCCAGATCGGGAGACAGAAACACAATCCAAATTAGAGCTGACTGCAAATTAGACCTGACTGAGCTGATGCAAACCAGACATGGGCTGCAGTCTCTTCAAATGGGCCAGCGGTGAGGCTGTGCATGGCTTGTTCCCAGCAGACAGGGACAGATACGCATGGGGACCATGCAATGCGGAGAAGACGAGCAACTCCAGAGCATGAGACATCCCAAATGGAAGTGATTAATGTCTGGTCTGCCCAGAGCACGCAGTGACTCCAGCCCTTGCTGCTAACTGCTAACTGGTTGTGTGCTCTTCCTCGCGTCTCACCATTGCCAGGGCTGAGGGGCAGGGAGTTTCCCTGGAGGTCCAAGCATCCCTCCAGCAGCAGCACCTGGCCTTGCAGCCATCAGACAGATGCTGCTGCACTAAGGAGTGTTCAGGTAGAAAGAGGTGTCATCTCAGGTACTGGCAGCTCCGGCTGGGAATGACACAGCCTGGGGCTGATTTTCACATGCTGCCTTCTGTAGCACCTGCCCACGCTCTCACCTCCCAGACAGATCTCTTCCTGCACCCTCTCCTTGAAAGCTCCCAGCAGCTTTCTACATCCAGGATGTAGACGAAGGGGGAAAGGATGGAAATTGCTTCTTCTAAGATGCCCAGGCTCCCTGGATTACCCACGTGCAGCTCACCTTGGAGGAGGTGCAGGGCGCAGGGGATGGGGCATCCAAGAGAGCAGAGCTGCCTGTGCTCAGGTGCTGCGACTGCGCTGGGGGTGCAGGGGCCAGGAGGACACACACTACAGTGCAGACCAAGCTCAGCGTTGTGTGGAAAGTAATATGTCCTTAGGCTGTAGGCATCAAATGCTGTGTTCCAAACTTCTGGAAAACCACAGGCAGCCTTAGGAGGATGGGACAAGTCTGCTAGTCTCTGCAGCAGTGAGGGAGATGATGTTGCAAGGGAAAGGGAACTGGGCTGCAGCGAAGCCGCTGGGGATGAGGAGGATGTACAAAGCATGTAGCATCAGAGCTCTCCAAAGCCTTGTCCCTGAGTGTCTGAGCCGCTGATGGGCTCTTGATTTGTACAAGTGGGAAAAGTCTTCTCCTCCCATGCAGAAAGTACAGAGGGGAAAAGACTCTGAGCATCCAGGCAGACCAATGGGTTACAATGCTCCCCTATGACCCAGTGTGGCTAGGTTTGGAAGGCTGAGGTGAAAGTATTAACCAAGAAAAATCTCCACAGGCTCTTCCAAACCACATAAATTTACTTAATAGTCTGGTAGCAGGAGGAAGTAGGAATGTCCAGTACTGCACAGACTGGCTCGGCTCTCTACAGAGCAAAGAGCCCAGGTAGCAAGTCCTGAGCCATGCCATGCACCTACTCAATCTTTCTGCTAACAGATTGAAGCTGAAGACCAAGAGCTGGCAACTTTCTGCGGCAGGGAGACAACAGACACAGAGCAGGCCCCTGGACAGCAAGTGATCCTGTCTCCAGGTCCTTACATGGGGCTCACTTTCAGATCTGACTTCTCCAACGAGGAACGCTTCACTGGCTTTGATGCCCATTACACAGCCGTGGGTAAGCAGCACTTGGCCACCAGGACTAGCTTGCCAGGGTAGGTAACAAATTCACCGCCCTTTGGGTCCCCTGGCTGAGCTCACACCCCAGCCTTCACCTCCAGAGACCCCGTAAGGGAAGCTGAGGTCTTTGCGTGCAGCCCAGACTGCTCACTGAGGAATCGCTGGGCACTCGTGATGCAGTAGAGAGGCCGCTGAGTTGAGACATACCGGTGGCTTTTTCCTGCAGCAAAGCCTTGCAAGGACCTGTTCCGAGCAGTGACATGAATCCTCTGCCCCCTTCTCCACCCCAACATATCTGCAATATGACCCACCCTGTGGCACAACAGATTTCTCAATTCCTCCGACAAACCCCTCAGTGGAAAGAGATATATAAAGGATCCCAGGGTGACCTTCTTTCCTTTCGGTCTCCTTCCTATCCACCCTAGATGTGGACGAATGCCTGGAGAAAAGCGATGAGGAACTGGCATGCGACCACTACTGCCACAACTACATCGGAGGGTACTACTGCTCCTGCAGGTTTGGCTACATCCTCCACTCTGACAACAGGACCTGCAAAGGTACCATCCAGGCACAGCTCAGACATGGGGATGGTCACACAAAGGGGGCCCTGAGCATACCACAGAGCTGCAAAACACCGGCCAAACTGCTTGTTCTTGCTCCCAGGTGGGGCAAGGTGCATCTTCCCCTGCAATAGCTTGGAACAAGAGAGCAGCCAAGGCCTGTTGTCATCAGCAAGGCCTGGTTTCCCCCATGTATTCTTCATCTCAACCCTATAAACTTATTCAAGTCAGAGAAATGAAAAAGTTTAGCCTCTGCCCTAAATCTGAACGAACTGATGTAGGTTAGTTGGGAATGAGTATGGTTGAGTATGTGGCATGCAGGAGAGGTTGGATATGGGGAGAAGCGGAGATTGGGAAGGTGAGTCCACAGAGCCTCCTGAGCATGGCCAGGGTTGGGTGCTGGCTGGCCAGGCACTGAGCAAGATGTGGCTGTGTTTCAGTGGAGTGCAGTGACAACCTCTTCACCCAGAGGAGTGGGGTGGTCACCAGCGCGGACTTCCCCAGCCCCTACCCAAAAAGCTCGGACTGCTTGTACCGCATCGAGCTGGAGGAAGGCTTCTTCATCACCCTGAGCTTTGAGGACAGCTTTGATGTGGAAGACCACCCCGAGGTTACCTGTCCCTATGATTTTATCAAGGTGAGCTGTGCTCTGTGTCATCTCCCTGTCCTGCTCTCTCTTCCTATCATTTTCCTCGTATTACTTGGTGGTGGTTCCTGGTGATAGGATCAAAACTGACCTATTCTAAATGGGGCTTATAAAGCCAGCAGGGGCCGAATGCTGGACTGAACCCAGGTCTGTCACCATGTCTGATTTTGCCCTTCCAAGGCAATGATTACCCTCTTTCTGGTCTTGGGCCCCAAAACTGTTGACATCCCCTCATCATATAGTGCATAATCTCCAGCGACCCCATTGCTGTGGCATGTCCCCAGCCACTAGCCTCAAGGCAAAGTGAGTTCCCAGGGTTTGTGCCTCCTCCTCAGGCAACACACTCAAGCCACCCATTCTTGTTTGCCCTGGCAGATCAAAGCTGGACATAGGGAGTTTGGCCCTTTCTGTGGAGAGAAATCACCGGGAATCATTGAAACTCAAACCAACAGTGTGCAGATTCTCTTCCACAGTGACAATTCAGGGGAGAACAGAGGCTGGAAGCTGTCCTACACAGCAATCGGTAAATCCTGCTGCTTTCCTCAGTTTTCTAGGCTTGGGGCAGGGGAAGAATTTTGTAAACCCTGCAGGTGGAAACTTGTTGGTGGTCTTGGGAAAAGATTTGTGGCAGCGGTCACAAGGAGAGGGATAAAATAACATGGAGACCTCCCTTCAAAGGGTGTTTTTAATTCCTCCAGCTGGGCCCTCAAAGTAGAGCATATTTAAAGCAATGCAGCTCTTGGGAGGATAATTACACAAGCTACTTTTTTTCATTTCCAGGCTTATAACACCCAAAACCAGAGGCAGCCCAGGGCGGTAGGAAAGACCTGGAGCCTTCTCTTACTTGTGGGAAACAGCCTAGCTGATCCCTGGTAGTGTAGGCTAACAGCAAAGATGCTTTGCCACCAAGGGAACTTGCTGGTAGAGCTGAGATTCTCTGTTTGCTTCAGTGAGTTTCATTTTGCTTTGCTTGCTGTTTTTTTTCAAAGGGAACCCATGCCCACTGGTGCAACCACCAATCAATGGCAAAATCGAGCCTTCTCAAGCCAAGTACACCTTCAAAGACCAAGTTGTCATCAGCTGCAATACTGGATACAAAGTACTGAAGGTACTGGGAGAGGGCATAGAGCTGGATACTTTGGGGGGAAGTGTCTTTCGTGTTTTTCTAGCTGCAAAAGCAAGAGCTCTTCTGCCAAACAGGGCTCTGAAGGGACTCAGCCTTCCATCTTTCCTTGTTGAATAGAGGACTGCTCTTCTAGAGCAGCAAGACCCAAGCGCTATGGTGTGACACATCATCACACATTGGCACGAGGTCTTGCCCAGCTTCAGCAACATCTGGTTTCTCTCCTGCTACCAACTCATCTGCCCACCATGGTCAAGACAAACATGATGTCATATAACTGGAGGGGCCCAAGGCAGGATCAGTCCCCATGGGTGTGCCAATAGCCTGTCACCAAATCTCCCTAGGGTATTCAGACCTTTCTCCCAAACTTGGAGGTGATGGTCCCTGGCTACATCTGCCTTTACTGTTAGAAGGGATTTATCACTGGTAGGGTGGGCTTGTCTGACACAGCATTTGTGACACCTCATCCAACCCACAATAGGCACAGAAAGGAGAACATTCCCTGTTTCACTGCACCAGTTTTTATATATTTACCAAGCATATACCTCCCCTTCATGCTCTGTTACACCAGCTAGCTCAGTGCTTCCCCTGGCTTCTCAGGCATGTGCAATACCCAGTTGTCGCCTTCTCTGACCCATCTGTCTCTGTGTGTTCAAAACAAGACTCTTTCCTTCCTGAGCATTAGGTGCTTCTGGTCCTACGAAAGCCATTGCATTCACACTTAGGAGAGTGAACACGACCCATACACCACTCTTCCCACCTCACTAGGGCAAGGACAAAGTCTTCTCTGAAAGCTACAAACACTCCTTTCCAAAGAAGCAGGAGGAGAGAGGGAATGCCACTTCTCTGAGTCTCCATCCTCCTAACATCCATCCGGAGCTGGCCAGCTCAGAGAATGCGAAGTTTGGCACCTATGCGAGAGAAAAGTCATTAAAAGTCCCTGGGAAGCTGCCAGGATGCTGCCTGCTCCCCACCTCAGTGGGCTCTGATTCAGCTTCCAGGGAAACCCGCCGGCCGGGCATGCAGGCGGCCAGCCTTGGCTGGCCGGGTGGTCCTCTGGGACTTTGTGAATGCTTTGGCAAGTCAAGGCAGCTGGGATTTTGGCAGGCCACCTCCAGGAAACAGCTGAGCACCACAGGGAGTGCGAGTGACTCACGTGGTGGCTCTCCTCCCTCCAAACCAGTAGCCTGATGTGACTTCCGACATGGAGTATTTCTCTAATCTCTTCCCAGACTCGTCCCCTATGCAGAGCTGCTTCCTTACCCAGCTTTGGCCAAAGCAATCCAGAACCTACAATAAGAATAAGTATCTACAATTCTTCTACGTTCAGCATTCCACTGAATTACTGGTGTTAAGAAAAAGAAAACTCATTGAACTCTTATTATGATCTGATTCTGATTTTTAGCTACAAAAGTCTTCTTCCAGGGAGTCTGGATATATCTTGGCTAAATCACCAAGAATTTTACTTTTTATAGAGATCAGTATTTCCTTGCCTAGTACATTGACAGCTTTTTTTATTGGCATGTTCTACACAGGATAACCTAGAAAGTGACTCCTTCCAGATTGAGTGTCAAAAGGACGGGACATGGAGTAACAAGATCCCTATCTGCAAAAGTAAGGACACCCTTCCCCACCCTTTCAATGCCCTTTTTATGCTGAAATCATTCCCTGCTAACTGCAGCTGCCCAGCCAGAGTGGAGTTCCTTACTCAGAGATGCATATCCAGCCAAAGAACTACGTAACTATGCAAAGCTCTTTTGGCTTTTTCTTGGATAACATAACAGGGTTTGGTCCAAATGCCACAGGCGAGGGGTTTATTCCTGTCTGTAGACTGCTCATACAACTTGATTTATGACCAGCTTTACTGTCTCACTGTCAAAAAAGAGCAACCATTGCTCTTCAGTGACAGCTCCAGTCTCTCCAGCAGGGAGATGAGAAGCAGCAATGTCTGAGATGAGTCCACCATGGTGGGAAGGATCCTTAGGTCATGGGGGCTCCAGATGTGAGGAGCTGAATCCCGTTCTCAAAGTGTG